TAATCAGGTTTCTTCTGTTTCAATCGAACAGAATGATTGACATATTAGTTAGTTGTCAAATCTAATGTAAAACGTTTGTATGGGAAATAGAAAAGGGCTGTTTTTAGGGTTTTCCCGGCAATTATTCCAATTTTTCTCACCTTTTAAACCTTTCCTGGACTTCCAGGAGTATTTCAAGACTAAAATTAGCCAAATCGGTTCACCCGTTCTCGAGTTTTAGCGAGACTAAGGAACAGCAATCCATTTTTATATATATAGAAGATATTTAAACTACATACAAGAGTTACGTACTTGCTTATATAGAATAATATGATTAAAATTATATATTGTACATATAATTTAAATTGTAATATATATGTACTGTTACAACCTGTATACAGCCATAGGTCAGTGCTATTTATTTTATCAACTTATTATGGCCATCCATAATTAGGTTTTTCAACGTAGTTATCATGGTTTTCCCAATATTTTCTATATTATTTGTTAAAGTCCAAAGTTAAATAAGTGATATTATATTGTTACATGGAAATAGTTATATTTTCGCTTTTAATAATTTAATCAAAAGAACAGATTATTATATCGGAATAACAAAATTGGCATTAAACAATAATTATTAAGTACAGGCTTAGTACCAAGAAAAAAGTTACCATTAAAATTTTTGTTTACAGTCATTAATAAGTTTTTGATGCGGTCATCCATCCAAAAACTGTCTCCGTCGAAAGTAGCTTAACTTCCGAACATCGACGAGCATCGTTATATTGAAAATTCTTTTCAAATAGAACTTATATAAAATTAACTGCTATGATAGTTTCTGTACACAGTAGAGGTAAGTACAATAATATTTAATCAACATAGAAAATAAAAGTAATGTAAATAATTTGCTTTCTCATTTATTTAATTTAAAAACGTTTGATATATTTGATAAATAGGAAAAATAATCGGCAGACCCTGGCTTAAGCTGGGAAATTTCCAGGTAGAAGAAGAAGACGAGGAAAAATAATATTTATAAACGTCTATTCAGTACGTAGAAAAGTAATTATAAACGTCTATTCAATACTAAGTATTTATAGAAGTTTTTAAAAAATATGTTATCTCCGTCCGTCTTATTGTATTTCTATTAAGTTTTCTTTACTCAAAACAATTCAACTGTATGGTATTTCAAAACTTTGAGTATTATAAATAAATAAATTCGTAAATAAAAACTAATATTCATAAATTCGAAAATGACTTTTATATACGCAATATATAATAACGCCTTAAAACCGCCTAAAATCCTATCAAATGACCTCATTTGCATCACCAAGGCACACGTCCCAGAGGAGGAGGACTTGAAGCATGAAGCGTTATCCATTAATTCTATAACAAAACATTTCGGGCGCGCCTTCACAAATTAACTGATTAGATTAATTAAAAAATGCCAACTCTTCCACGCGCCATGGGATTGTTAGCGTGTCACGTTTAAATCTATGAGTCGGTGGCACCGGACTTACTATGGTTTTATTAAAGGATATATATGGAAAAATCGTTTTTTCGTTATCACCAAGGTGAAGTTTCATACAAGACCTCTCCTTCAAAAGTCCTCTGGAAGTCAATGATGCCAATATAAGAGTAGTACACGATAAGATTGCAGGAATCGCAATCGATCATTGTTATCGTTATAAAACAATGATCTCAGTATATATGTATGTGAAAAACCTGAATATTAAACTCAGTTTTAATAATAAACCAACCGGACCCAACCCTTTACAAGCGAGCGATTGTTATCAGTAGAGCTTCACTACAACGACATTACCTGTGAATTATTATTTCTGATTAATAAATTGTGACTCCCCGAAGACGGGCGGAGTCAATTATGAAATTTGATGCTTTTTCATTAAAACCTACGGGGCCCGGGAGGCTCTTAGTGGGTTAACGGGACTTTTGACGTGTTTTATCAGGTGTGGTGATGTTAATTAGTACGCGTATCAGAACATTACTAGCCTAGGCTTTTTTGCTATTTATTATATAATGAAGTTAGCGTTGTACAGACTGAGTTACACCTAAATTTCTGCCAAGATATGAGTGGCGAATATAGCTGCATTTAAGAATCGAATAGACTTCTTTTGCCGTAATCATGTATTTTCGTCTACTGTATGATAGATATATATAAGTTTTTGGCAATACGCATTATTTATATACAGATATATAATTTTGGGAGTCTATAAGAAATAATAATATAAGAGAACAGTTATTATTAATGAATATTATTAATAGATTCAAAATAGTGATAATCAAAATAATCCATTACACTATTTCACCTTAGTCTTCAACGGTTCCATGGTGTAATGGTTAGCACTCTGGACTTTGAATCCAGCGATCCGAGTTCAAATCTCGGTGGAACCTGTCTTTTTGACATTTTTTATAAATTTATTTATCGTCAAACAAATATCATTACTAGTTTTTTATTTTATTTATTTAGTTATATATAAAAGAAATTAAATATAAAATAATACACACAGAGTACAGACTTATTAGTGCTTGTTTTTAATTTATCGTCAAAGGTAATGTTTATGAGATTTTATGTTGTAAATGTTTATGAAAAAAAAAACTCAGGAAAAAGGATATATTTCATAAAGATGTAAGAATATGTAGCTTTAATTTAAAATTGATAATTATTATCCATAACATGATTGTTTTCATTACAAACTGAAGGTATTTGGTAGGTATGTACTGAAGAGCTGTGATTTCCTGAAAAGTCCCCCGACTTTCAGGAAATCACCGTTTTAATGAGTTGTATTATCTTGATATTAACGATACTTGAACTGTAGATGATAATTAAGTGACGTCACGAAACACTCATTACACAAAATGTTTAACACATTACATATAAAGTAATTTCAATGAAATATAATTATGTATGTAGTACAGTTAGAGGATTACGTATTTAATTTACGTAAACTTTATTAAAAAAAACATCTACATATATATACATATAAGAGAGAAAGAAATTTGGTGTTTTATATATAAGTATACTTACTATTTTATACGTAATTTAGCATGTTTCACGAGATCAAAGTAGAACATACAAACAAACTTTTTGTACAAAAGACGTAATAAAAAAGGTGCAAAAAATATGCACTTTTTGTCGTCGAAATGACTGACTAAGGTGAAGTCCCTCAATCATGTTGAGGTGCAACATAATAATATAAGAAGAGTAAAATAATATATAAAAAAAAAACAAAAACAATTCAGATTATGTAATATCAATTATTGTCAACGTTAATAACTCGAATTATAAACACGAATACTGTGACGTAAAACTTTACTTAAAATATAAATATATACATATATAAATGTGTATGTATACATAATGTATGTCTTAAATATTCAGCGTTACTAACGTATGCAAAAACCCAATTTTTTTCTCTAAAGCAATATTGTTTAAGGTCAATGCCCTCAAATTCGACATATAGATACATACCATTGCGAAACAATTAAAAATGCCTTCAGTATTTATTATCATATTTAATATGTTATTTTCGAATGTATATATGTATTTTTAAATATGTAAAGCTAATGTTTTCGGATGTTCTACGCTAATCGCGATTTTTATTATTTTAAACAACATACTCCCGAGTTTGAACGTAGAGTTTTAATATAATAAATAATCGCCAAAGTCTTATATATACAAAGTCTTATATATACAAAGTCTTAAATCCTAATATGTATCTACTAAACAAAGTATTTTGTTTTACAGTATCTACTGAAACTTATAGATTTACTCGCTTAAAGTTTCCTGGCATTTTTTTAAAGAATTAGAAGAGATGACAACACAAACTCCTAAAATATAAACTGAAAATTAAACATGAGTATATTCATGTCATACTAAAATGCATTGCAAAAAAATTTATAGCTTTAAATTTTATAAGAAACTAAGACCTTATTAGTAACGAATGTGGCTCACAATGACTCTACAAAATATAGTAACGTTTCGATCAATAAAAATAAATAATAACAAAAAAAATCTTAGTATACAAAACATTTCCACAACGAGATTTTAAAGATGAGCCACAACGAAATATTTCTTAGTGCTATAGATAAAAAAAGAAAACTTTGATAGGAAAAAACTCAAATAATAAGTAGGTACCTCATATGGGATTTTGTATTTAAAAACCTAAGCCATATTCCGAAGTAGGTTTTTTTTGTTATTAAGTTCGAGAAAGTAAACTATCTATATAATTTATTAATATTTACAGCAGTGTAAACTATTTTATAAGTGTAATTTTAATTCCAACATTTTATTGCATAACCCTGGTTAAGCCGCGGTGGCTAGCTATAAGTAAATATGATTCATTTCAATAACTTAACACGACCCTTTAGATTAATTTATTATATTGTTTTCTATATATCACTCAAATATATAGTTTAAAACATATTTCAACATATGCTATAAAACATCGATTGAGATGATGTGTATCTCAGAAGACATCTTATCAACTAGCGCTAGCGATAAGATTTAAAACTATGAATAATCAATTTAAAATATTCCATAACAATTTGAAAGAGACTCTTACTGAATAAATTATATTTAAGGTTAATTAAAATATTTCTATAAAATTGTGCATACGTTTTTAATGTCACTTTTATCATAGTATACCAATTTCCATCTTTTTGTAATTTCGTTTCTTTTTTACGCTATATATAGTTTTGGATAAAGATTTATTTCTTCATACATAAATTGTTACAAATTTTATTATAAATGGGATGCTAGTCTCAAAATATACTTAATATTCAACAAATCATATAAGATTGAACAAATAAAAAATATTTTTATTCAATTTCAGACCCTTTTTATTAATATAAATTATCACAGATACAAATTTCCTTCCCCTCATTTTCTGAACTATGGCTGGGCCGAAACACTATCACTTGGGGTACAGTTGAAGCCATTTAACTCCTCTGGCGAGGGAATCAACACGATTTAAAACAATCAAGCGTATTTACTTGATATTAGTTGAAACTCATCGCATCACAAATGAGAAGATGGATTCGATGACGTCATCCAGGTCTTTGCTGAACGGCGAGAGTTGGGCTTCGTAAGTGGGAGGCGTTTTGTCCTTTCCATTCACCATAAGATGACAGTTAGGTCCGACTAAAGACACTCTATCGCCTTTCCATCTCTTGCCAATCATAACATTGCCTCCATTGCCTACGACGCTAATATTCCCCATATTATCAACCACTTCCACTTTACAATCATTTCCGATAACTTCAATTTCTCCTTGATTTTTCGCCACTCTCACTATGCAGTTATTTCCAACCACTTTCAGACGAGTAGGATTCGACTCCATAGTCACTTTCTTCTTGTTACCAAGGACGGAGTAAACTTTCATTTTTAAAGATTTAATTTTAATATTAGAAATATTGTCTTAATGCGTGTTACCGCTGTAGAGTCTAACGCGTGAATGATTTAAATTTGGAAGGCGAGGTGTTTATAAGCTGACCGACACGCGCTCGCGCACACCGACGATAAGGGAGTCCCCTGTGTATTCGTCATTTTAATTCATTGATGATTGTTTATTTAATGACGCTCTGATTTTAAAAAACTTAATAATTAAAAGTATTGTTATTCCCCGTGAAATAAAATATATCATTAAAATATATTTAACAATAGTACTAAAAGTGTCTAATAATTAATAAGAATTACTGCTCTCAATATTAGAATATATTTAGACTGAATTCTGTGACATTACTCTATTGAAATAATTTCACGCTTGTTGTGTGTAATTTTCAGAAAAGCAGCTGTCAGCACATTTAAAAGAGAATGTCATCTGAAATGTTATTTTCTTAGTATTATTATTTTTATCAATTTGTGATTCTTTAGAATGAACACACTCAGCTCTACTTCCGTGAAAGTTTATTTTTATAGCAAAATTCGTAAAACGTAAACTTTGTCTTGTTTTTTTTTTATATATTTGCTTAATGATATCTTCGGATGTTTGCTTTCGTCAGAGAACTGTCATAATTATTATGACTAATGTCTACTATCTCATATTATCTAACAGATCATTTTATCGCCACTCACAATAGATTGCTTAGAAAGGAATTCGATTATGTCATATTTGAAATATTTTCCAACGAACCCTTTTTTATAGGCCACATCTAATGCGTCATTAAGGGCGGAATGTTTTAAAATTTAAATGCAATATTGCACAAACTTTCAACGGACATAGAATGGGTTTTTACTGCAATTTAAAAATTTTGTAAATCTCTTACGTTTGCCTTGAATAACTGTGTCAGGTGCCGTGTTACATAAAACACACATCAAACTTGTTTATTATAATTTGAGAACTATTTAACAGACATAAAGACTATATTCGCGTGGAGATTCAAGATACCGTTTTAATTTATCCGGTTCGAAGTCAATAACAGGGCCGTGATTTCAATGACCTTAAAAAAATGTTATTTCCCTCATAATATCCTGCACTATACATAGAATTTACTAATAATAGAAGTATATGAATAATTTTTCATAATAATATGTATCGCTTCCTATTAGCTGTCAGTTTAAGACGTCAATACAACTTTATTTATTCCCAGCGGGATATTATTGCCACACTATTTGTTTGAATTAAAAAATATTTCTTATTATTGGATATGAGAAACTAGATATATCTAATATTTAAAAATTTATTCATGTATTAATTACGTAATAAATATACAGTTATAAATATTATTTGCACTAATTAATATAATTATATCGTTGCTAGGAAAATTCCTACTTTTGAGTCAATTTATTTGACAATGTTTTTGAGGTAATAAATTAAAACTATTCCGTCGAAACCGATTTTTCCTGTTGCAACTTCCTTATTTCCTATAAATTACAATAATGCGTATTGTAATAATTCTATGTAAACTTTATCAATTGTAAGTTATCAATTGAATCATTTAAAAAATTTTCCTCAAACAAACATGATGAATCACGTCTGTTACCAAATTCACATAATCTTAAGTATAAGAAAATATAACGAGTGACTCATATGGGATCGCATTTCTCAGAACATTTAGACGACAAAGATTAAACGAAGAGACAATAAACTCAAACACAATTAAACAGTTGAAAAATTGTGTAATAATTATTTACACAGATAATTATTTGTTCAAATGTAAATAAAAATCGTAAAAACTTTTATTTGTTTTAATAATTTTATGAAATAAATAATATTTAACGTGTCTAAAGTATATTGTGTTTTATTTCCAGTATTTATATCAGTAAATAATAACTGTATCGTAATTTTAAAAATATAACAGTTAATCTATGACAAGCCGTGCGAATGGTTGGCGCGAAAGAAAAATGCATCTATGCTATGGGTGAGTCATACGCATGCGCGTGCCTGACGCTTTTATGAACTTACGCATATCAATCCCTTTACCCTTATAAGGATTATTGCTGTCAGATCAATCGACTAACTTATTAAGTTATTGGAATCTATACTTATACATATTTAATTATTTCAGAAGATCCATTTTAAGTATTCCTGCATAAAGAATATAGGCATTTTTAAAAGTTTTATAAATATTAAAAATTAAGTTTAATAACTTAACCGTTAGTTAGTTACTAAATTATTTTAAACTAGCTTTCCGCCCGCAGCTTCGCCCGCGTGGAGTTCGGTTATATCGCGTTTCCAAGAGAACCTTTCAAAAGTCTGGGATAAAAAATATCCTATGTTCTTTCTCAAGGTTAACTCTATGTCTGTACCAAATTTCATTAAAATCAGTTCAGTTGTTTAGGAGTGAAAGCGTAACAGACAAACAGACAGAGTTATAATATTAGCAGGGAATGATAACGCCTATGTGTTATTCCTGGACGTCAGCTTCCTGTATACAAAATTTTATCAAAATCGGTTCAACCGTTTGAGCGGGAAGAAGTAACAAACATACACACACACAAACTTTCGCAATTATAATATTAGTAGGATTGCGATTATTGTCAACATATTTCTCTGTCTTTCGATTTCATGTAAGGGGAAGCTATATTAAGTTTCACAAAATTGAAAATTCCCCTTTTTCTGTTCCCTACTTAACGTTTTCATAGTTCATATTTTTTGTAATTATTACATATCCTACTGTTTCAACTGTATAAATATTTTAATATAATCAATAATAAATTAATACGCCTTAGTCTAATCGAAGAATTTCAATCGTTTTCCGGAATTGCTTAAAAAATCAAATTACGTAATATATTTTTTAATACATGCAGATAATATTTCGTCAGATTATCTTATCACGAGGGAACACCTGTCATACGGGATTATTTGGAACTATTCGTCATAAATTACGTTACTACACATTTTTGTACGTAAATGAGTCATTGATGGTAAGAATAAAAATAAAATATTCTTATATTACTTAAGAAGTAACCGTCCCTATTATAAAATGTGTTTGATTTTTTTTTAAATCAATAACATCAGATGTGTCACCGGCTATGATTTTCATTATAATGACAAAAATTAAAAAAAATGAATAAAACAAGTATGTATTGCAAAAGTGTAAAATATTTATTAAGGAAATACACTCCATATAATAAAAACATACCTAAGACTTTTTATGAAAACAGAGACATTTAAGTTCGAGATAAAGTAAGCTTGAGAGTGTTACAAAAGTAAAGAGAAAATATTTAGTCTCTACATGATAGTCATGTATAAACTAAGAAAAAATTAAAAGAAAGAAATTCAGTGTTACATTGTTCATAAACAGTAACTAAATATGACATAATCTAAATAAAAATGTAAAATTATCTACTTATTGGTATAAATTCATGATCACATTAAATGTTTAAAAATTATATTTAATACATTCAACCTTTGGCTTTAATTAAATCATATAAAAAGATTACAAATGAGATTCAATTGTATTATTAAATTAATAAAAAAAATATATTTTTTATAATAAACCTTTTACAACTAGTAATGAGTACAAGTTTCTAGTAATAAAGTGTTTGTTTGTGCAACATAATTTCTCTAATGTCTTAACTAAAATCTAAACTAAATTATTTCCCATCTAGTATCAAAATAACCCAAATGTACTACAAATGCCTAAATAAATGAATATCATCACAGACATTAACTTATACCTTATTACTGTGCAATAAGCAATTAGTAATTAATTTATACTAATTACTAAAACTATAACATAATACAAATGATGTTTTTTTTTTTAATGTATTCCGAGCAAAAGTCCAATATTTTTTTTAAAGTGCCCTCGACATTGATCCTAATCATTCAGCCACTATAAGATAAAAATATATTGTCATTTATTATCACTATCAGCAATTCATACGTCAGCGACAATTTATTACAAAAACAAAGCGATACGTTGTACTATTTACGTCACAGCATTTGAATATTAAATTATTCCTTTTAAATAAACATATTACTATACATTACAGTATGAATAGGTATTTACTTAGTAAAATAAGTAGTAAATTTATAAACAGAGATTCAGAATTGACCTAGTAAACTAAAAATCTTTCTATTATTCTATGTAAATGCCAAATACATTGAGAATATTTTGTTATGAGCTACTGTGAATTATTTAAAAATCACAATACATATTAAAACTAATTATACTTAGTACTACTTGACTATTAGACTACTTAATATTGGCACTGATTTATATTTGAACTACCTAATATTGGAATATTATCAATATTCATAATAGTTGAAATGGTTTTGAAGTATAATAAAAATGTTCATACAATATTAAGAAATTATTACAAATTGAACATTAATCTTTATATGGTAATAAACAGTAATTTTAGTATTAATTATCAATATTTATAAGGTTTAAAATGGTTTTGAAGTATGATAAAAATGTTCATACAATATTAAGAAATTAGTTCAAATTAAACATTAATCTAGATATGGTAATAAACAGTCATCTACTATAGACACATTCATATGCCAGTTGAAATGATTAACTCCGGGTACAGTCACTAGATGGAGCCTCTTAGTTTTGTCCAAAGTTTTTAAACCTATTTTATCTGATAAATATATGTCCTGTTGGTACATTTCAATTATAGTTTCATTGGCGTCGTAGTAACCGAATTGGCTGAAACAAAGTAAGAGGTATTAATATACAGGGTGACTGGTGAATTACTATCAATATTTAAGGAGCATACTCGGTACATGATTCTCATTCGAATTATGTAAAAAAAATAGGTACTTAATTTTTGACAAAATTTCCGTATAAATAAATAAAGTGTTGACACGTTCCAAGTGTTCCTAGTGTGGACGCGTACGGCGGCGTGCTGATACAAAACCACGCCCCCGCTGCGTATGTGTGAGTGTGTGTGTATACCTAATCTGTAGGGTGTTCACACGATGCGTAATTAATTACACAACTTTTGGTTAACTTTACTTAGAAGTTTATTAATATTTATGTTATATTAATTTTTATTTTAATTATAGCTATCCCAACCTAGGACCTTTTAATTTATGCTTACAAGATAATATAATATTAATTTCAAGAAAACAAATGATAGAAATATATTTTTAATAGAACATATATGGACACACACTAGGAACACTTGGAACGTGTCAACACTTTATTTATTTATACGGAAATTTTGTCAAAAATTAAGTACCTATTTTTTTTACATAATTCGAATGAGAATCATGTACCGAGTATGCTCCTTAAATATTGATAGTAATTCACCAGTCACCCTGTAGATGAATTGATTTGATTAGTTTTAATATAATATGGCATCACATAGATAATGCTAAAAACAAATTGAAGATTTATTATATTTTGCATATTTTTATTAAGTCATTTCGATTTACGTCTGCCAGTGATCACGGTTGCTAAAATTATTTTTTTATAAGAATAAAGCACGCATAGTATATCCCAAAAATTATTAGTTTCATTAAAATGAATAAAACTCACGAAACTTTGAGATCTCATTATTTAAGTTCTATAAATTTAATTACCTGCTCTGCCAAGGCGTGATGACTTGATCATCGGGTCCACCAATCAGAACGAGGCGTTTCAAACGGAGCATGTTGTTTTTAAAATCATCCGATTTTGCTGATCTGAAAAATAATATCATCAATTACTATTTTATTAATATTATCTCGAATGACAGCAGCTGTAAGATGTAAACAAGTTGATTTATTTTATCGTCGGTTTCAAGGAGAAAAACGGTTACTGTGATAAAATATTCAACGAACACATCGTTAGTACGTGTGATCTGTTTTTTATAAATAGAGTATTGAAGACATAATCAATAGAAGAAAATAGTATATAAATTATTATATACTGTTATAAAATGAAATAATATAAAATATATATGTTTTATATTAATAAAATTTGTTAAAATCTAATACAGGTAAATCACAAAAAGACAGGTTCCACCGAGATTTGAACTCGGATCGCTGGATTCAGAGTCCAGAGTGCTAACCATTACACCATGGAACCGCTTATCTATGCGAACGAAATTGTAGATACTAATTTTCAATTATACATTATTTCTATTTGTACAATATTTACATTGTTCAAATGTATCAATGAGAGTTATATAAGAATTAATATTTGAATACTTATAAGCGTTCCAATCAAAAACTTCTACACTTATGACTATAAATCAGAAAAATTATTTGTTAGATGTATAGTGAAAGAAAAAGGGAAATTTCAGAATTAATAACTAAATTGTATCAGAACTAATAAGAAAAACAAATATAATGTGCATACTTACTGAATATGATTATTAATATAGGGCAGGTATACACTATAAGACTCATATAATGTTTGATGGTAGGGATCCTTCCAGTAATTACCGACAGAAGTATGTTGACCCACACGGGAATAAAACAGCTCGTAGGCGGTTTCTTTGACTAAACCAGGAAATATTATGTGAAGAAATCCAGCTGTAACATTATGATATCATATTTCACTAATAAAAATGTTGTTATTTTACCTCTATTAATAGTTTTCAGACTATGTTTAAAATTTTATATAAAAATTAAAATAAAAATTATGAACAATTTTGGTCTTTTGACAATGTTTTTGTTTACACTAAATTATATTATAAAGATAAAATAAAAAAAATTGCATTAAAATATGTCTGTTTGTTTACAAGATTGCCAATTTCTATTGAAATAAAATATATATATTTTTGTATACCTCCATATTGGCCAGCCTGGGGCGAGCTCAAAGAAATAAATGTACTGACTGATACATTTGAAAATGTCTGCACAATCCCCCTCGCTATTAGACCACCTTGGGAATATCCTGGAAATTAAATATATAAATATTAAATTGGGTCGGTAAGTATTTAATAAAGCTAGTATTTAGATTAAAAATAAACCACAAATAAATAAAAACACAGGTATAAAAGGGCCACAGTTTCACAACTGGTATCAATTATTGGAATTTAATAATATTGAACAAAATTTTTAATAAAAATATTAAGTTACCTATTAAATTTATTCCTTCTGGGTGTTGGCTAGATATATTTGCTACATCCAAACCAATCTCCAAAACTTGATGCCACATTGTTTCTAAGCTGGACCAACTTTCAAATCTATTCACATTATATACTTTGGTTCCTGGATGTTTCTGAATAAAATATAACAATATGAATAATAAATTCACAAATATCTTTAACATTAATTTTTAATTAAACAGTTTTTGATTTTCGATATTAATTTTAATATATATCTTGTTTTACCTCTTGTATTCTGCGACTGATCATTTCCATACTTCCACTGCCCGTCATTATGCCATGAATTAAAACAACAGGCTTATAAGATAAACTTAAACATATAATAGAGAGGAATATAAAAATAACAATATTCGGTTTCATTGTGCGAGAATAAACAAAGGATTGGAAATGTAAACTTTACGGGTTTTATAAGAAATTATGCACTCAAGCTGTTATAAAATTCTCACATATATACGAAAATTTCCGATTTATTTATAATGATACTATATATTTTTAGAATATAAAATCGTAAACAGCTCGTTTCTACTCCTAGAACTTAAGAAATAAGACATAAGTGATAAACTTAAACTTGTAAGTGTTGTGCTTGAGCTTGGCATTGACATCAAGTAGTGTTGTCTATCGATAGTCTACTATCGAGAGGCTATCGATTTTAAATCGATAGTAAAGGCAAAGCCTATAGTTACTATAATCTATCAATAGTATCGTCACATGTTATAGTGAGTTTGATTTAAGCTGAGCTTTGCATTTGTGTGAGTGTACACGGATAGTGTAGGTGTCTTGTCAAATATTTGAATGCTACGTTCTTTTCTAGTTTTGATCCGGTTTATACTGTTTTACTCCGCCCCTCACCTTCCTCACTTCACCCTTTGTACCGGTAGCAACGTCAATGTTGAAAACGCAATGTCAAATGAAGAAGAATTTGTATTATTTTTTCAAAAATTTTATTACTTAATAATTATATTTCCATAATATTTCCATCTGGCCTTTTACAAGTTTTCCTTATTTTATTTTTAATCTAGAATATCTCTATCACTTATGTTATATATCGATTTAAAATATAATAAAATTTCACTCTAAAAGTTTTTATCTAACGCTACTTTTCTTTTCACTCACATCAATGCAAAGCTCAGCTTAAGTCTAACGAACTATAATACTATCGATATTATCGATAGTATCGATGGCACATCTTAAACTACTATTGAAAGCGCTAATACTATCGATAGCATCAATATTCTGAACTATCGATTGTCAGGAATTATTCAATAATATTGCAAGTAAATTCAAAGTGATGTATAAAATGAAAGTAATAGAGAGTACACTGGTACCTATTATATAGTGGTTATTACATATTCCAAAGTGCTTCCCTTATGATGCCAACCAATTTAATAAATGTCTAAATAATTCATGACAAATTCAAAAAAACTACTGACACCCGTCGGGGTTTAAACCCATGATCTAAGCGATCAGAAACCATACTCTAGGCTCTAGCTAACCATCTGAGCAATCACGTGCTCCGCGGGAGTCAGTCTGTTTTTTTTTAAACGTTTACATTTAATAACCTTCTATGTACAAAAACATGATTTGCACATATCGAAAATTAATTATTGACATTTATTTGACTGTATTTTACATGTGAACTAGGTACCCACCCCAGCTTCACAGGGGACTTTACAAAAAATATAAAATTATTTATAAAAAATATTATATAAATATAAATATACTTTACAAAAAATATTAATGTTATACGCAACATAGGCTATGTTGCGAATAACGCTTTGAGAACTTTCTCTTTGAGTTAAATGAATACAAACAAAAATTTCATCATCTTTCTTGGTTATTTAATTTATTTTGATAAGACTTAATACTTACTGTAATTATAGAAATAGCTTTCATGAATGTCAATTTTTAAAAGTAGAAAAATGGATAAAGTATGTTATCCTTAAGGGATAGATATATGCCATCGCGAACTTTTCTGTAGATATTGGATACACAATTCTACCATACATTGTTTTATTATATCTCAAAGGGTTTTGGCAGCGTTTTCGTTAAAAAATCCCAGACGGCTCATTTTTTCTTCAACAAATATCGTTAACGTACACACAAATCAGTACAAAACCGTTGCAAATTATATAAAACCTTTAAAAAATTATATAAAAAAATAAAAAACCTTAACAAATTATATAAAAAACCTTTCTCGAGAGTTACGCCATCGAATGGTGGAAACCGCTTGGAAATTGATGCAGTAGTTTTTCTGTTTAGTGCGAACAGACAGACAGACTGACGCGCGGGGGACTTTGTTTTATAATATGTATTAGTTGATAAATATTTTCAAAAATAAATTATTCTGGTGCTACATTCAATATATCAATTTATTTGTTTATACATTTCTCTCATATTAAATGGGTGACTTTGTGTTTTTAAACCACAATGAACAGATGAGCATAATTTATCCGTATCCATTCTAAGCACCCGAAAACTTTTCTTCTATAAATCACTTTGAATTTACTTTCAATAATATCGCATAATTCCTGACAATCGATAGTTCAAAAATATCGATACTATTTATAGTACCAATAGTTTTTGGGTTAAAATAGCAAATTTTACGATACTATCGATAGTATTAGCACTTTCAGTAGTATTGTTTAAGATGTGCCATCGATACTATCGAGTGTATCAATAGTATTAACATGTGACGATACTATCAATAGCACTATCGATATTCTGAATAGTTTTCGAGGTCAATTATTAATAGTCAAACTATCGATGGTTCTGCAACACTAACATCAAGATTTAGTACACTAATGATAAAGATTTAAAAAAGTTTTTTTTAAATAAAAATTCATATTTATATTTCCTGTTCTAATCTAATTAATTTTTTTATTTTTTTACTACATTTGGTAATATATAATTTTTCAAGACTCAACACGACTCGTATCCAGAGCCGTAAAAATGTTGACAAAAAAAAACATCCTTTTCATTCATCCTAACGTCTATCAAAATTACATTATTTTTGTCTTTCTGTCACTTCCACGTGCTTAGTACTTTACTTTTGTGGACTTATTTTAATAACATAATAACACATTGTTATGAGTTAACTTAAGCAAGTTTCAGTGTAATTAACCTGAAAAGGAATTAAGTGTTGAATTGTAATTACAACCATGGCTTCAACTTCTTTGGTAGAACAGCTTCAAAAGCTTTCAGTACCTCAATCATCAGTTTATAAAGATGACAGAAGAAAAGCCTCCTTACTTTTCGATCCTAAGGAAGCAGCCTTAAAAGATCGCGATACTTTTTATGAAATTGGTCTTAGCGGTTTGAAAGAATTAATAGCATTGTATGAAGGATTCCGAGTGTATGAAGATTCACTGTATAGCATTGCCTCAAAAGATTTTAACCGAGCAGTAGAGAGTAAAGAAGTAAACCAAAATTTAAATCAAACTATTGAAAAGTTTCTTCTGCAATTATCTCCATATTTTCTACTTCAATCAACACACAAAGCTTTGGAATGGTTAGTCAATCGGTACCACATTCATGAATACAACCAAGAGGCAATCATGGTGCTAATCTTACCTTATCACGAGACTAAGATATTCATAAGGTTTGTCCAAATATTAGAGATAAAACCCAATTCAAGGTGGAATTGGTTAGAACCTATACAGAAAAAGGGTATTCCATTAACAAAACAGGTTCTTCATAATCAATGTGTATCAAATACAGCGACTCTTCAGTTTATAGCTAAAACAACATCAAATTTTGTTATTGAATTTGGAGAGAGAGCCACACAATTGAGTACAGTTTTTGCATTTTTTTGTTCAACAGCCATCGGAGCCATGAATACTGCTAAATATGTCACTGAATCTATAGTGAATGCGCTTTTACCCACTATTGTGAAGGGTTTGGATTCCACCATCGCTGATTTCAGGTCATCGGCTTACGTAGTACTGGGATATCTATGTACTAAAGCCACTTTGAAAAAGAAAACTCTAAATGAGTTGACGGTCCGATTACTCACTTCTGAAGATGATCTATCATATGATGCAATTTTACTTATTAATTTGATCTACAATAATCAGAAGCACTTAACGAAAATGCCGCTCGAAGTTCTGAGTAACATTTCAGTGGATGTTATGAATGATATATGCAAACATTTGAAGAAATTGGTTGAGTTGAAAATAAATATCCAAGCATTTAGTTTAGCGTTTCTATCGAGTGTCTTAAATATCATACAGAAAGACATCGAGAACTTTCGCCTGTATTGTCAGTTGCCTGAAATATTTGTTGATGAAGTTGACCATAAAAATCAGCAGCCTGAAAAAATTGTTAGGTGAGTAAGGAGAGTATCAAATAAAATAGGAAATTTATTTAATTTTTAGATATTATTCCTTGATAGATGAGTATTTTCAAGCAGTGGTATTTAAAAAAAAAATCGCTTATTGTAACAAAACTATAATAGTAAGTGATATGATGTTGCAACGTTCTTTGTAGATATTGATAAGTTCTACAAAATTGTAGTACATCACTTTGTCACAATCTTCAATCGTTTTCAGAGTGTTCGCAATTAAAGAAAGTTTTTTTGGTATATTTTTACTTTATCGAAGTTTTGGTAAGGAACTCTATTTTTTTTAAACTAACTAAAGCCTATGTCACTCCAGGATAGTATAGCTTTCCAACGGTGAAAGAATCTTTCAAATCGGTACAGAAGTTTCGGAGCCTATTTGAGACAAACAAACAAAAAATCAAACCTTTCCTCTATTCTTTTCTATAATATTTATAATATTAGTATAGATAAATAATGCATAAATATCAACTTAATACATATTTCAGAAAAATTCTTTCTTTGGATATTAATTAAATCTTATAAAAATGTGTTTCTATTTAATCATAAATTCTTATTTCAATTTCAGGTGCATATTGAGTTCATTGCACGTGTCAAAAGATAGCAATAATGGAGAGGAAAGTGATATTGAAATTATTGATGAAGATGATGCTTTCTCCAGTAAAATAACATCCTGGTATTCACAGTTTTTAAAAAATATAGAAAACAAATATCCTGATGTTTTCGATAAGGTAATTAAAAAGGAAATGAGCTCAGAATCAAATATTTCCATACAGAAAAGGGTTCAACTATCAAAAGTACTGGGATTTAAACCAGCTGTAGCTCATAAAGTCGGTGGTACTTATTTATTCGAGAATTTAAACCACATTAATCCAGAAATGAGAGTTGAAGCGGTCAATTATATAGCAAAGGAATTTGAATTTTTGAAGATTGAAAATCGAGATTTTGTGAAGGATTCCATCTTGAGTAGATTAGAAGATGATAATATAGATGTCGTTGATGCAGCATTAGACATCTCGAGTGA